TTTCCAACCGAGCGATTCTGTGTGTGATTTTATAAAAGCTAAGACTTACGTTCATGTTACTCAAGTTCCAAAGAGCACTTCTGTCTTTAATAAGAGTATTTTTGACAGCTTGCAGACTGAAACACTGAAGCTTTTTAACAGTATTTAAACCATTGGGACTGAACTCGACAAACAGAACTAATCCAGTTTTGTTACCCACCGTGAAGAACTTACTGAATAAAGACAACCTAGATAAGGCAAAACACTACAGTTCTAATTTCTCATACACACAAGACCTGTTTTCAAATGTCTGTGCTTTACACAGACAGGATTGCTTCAAGGAGAGGCTGAAGTTTGTACGGTGCCTTATACTACATATCAGAATTATTTATACAGTATCAGAAAGTTGTATTTCATCATCATTAAAATATGGGATTTTTTGCTTTTCCATCCTTCTGAGGGAGGGAGGATGAAGGCCTTCCCAGGCCCAAAAGCTGATGAGGCTGTGAGACTGCCCCATAAGAACGCAGTGCTCACATCCTGGTTCAACGTGGAAAGAGGAGTTGAGCTCAAGTTGTGCCATGTGCTGGTGGTAGGGCAGGTGGAGCAGGACGTGGAGAAAGGAAATGGAAAACCGGCACTGTGAGCAGGCAGCAAAAAGCACGGATTTGTGCCAAGCACAGCCCGGCAGCGGTGTGATCTTTGCTGACTTGAGGCCTCTTTTGAGAGAAATGGGAGAAGTGCTGGACACGCTGTGCCAGCTCTTCCCCTGCATCCAGCATGGCATCCAGCTGTACAATTAGCTCGGCTGAAGTTCATTTGCTGAGGAAGAGAAGGTGAAACGGGATACAGGATCCTGCTGAACTTTAGTCATCGAGGCGATGAATTTCCCTATGAGCAATGTAGTGTTTTGCTAAGAAGACCTGAGCTACACGAATCTGACACCAAAGTGCAGGTACGCAGAATATAAACAAGATTCCAGTAAGGCAGATTAGCTTTGTGCACGGGCCATAGTTTGGCACTTCTGTGAACCAGTTCTCCTGCTCCTAGGAGAGGAAGATTGCTCCTTTCCCAACCCCTCCTTTTCAGGGTTGTGCTGTAGTCATTCACAGGGACACTGGTAAAGTAGAAGCTGAAAGGTTTCCTTATCTTCTGATGACTTCCACTTCTCAAGCTCTCAACTACTTCATAACCAATTGATGGTTGTCATTTGCCTCTCTGGCACCTTTGTGCTGTGGTGTGAACTGTAAACAACTGAACACAAAGGAGTAAATCCTTTCTTCTCGATTCCAACATCCTCCTCACTTAGACCACAACCTGAGGCACCAACCACATACTGCATGAAAGACACGCAGGCCTGGTTTTAAAAGATGAGGCAATCTCGACTGTTTTGCTGTTCTTCAGTTGGAGTCACTGCCCTCCTCTGAAAGAGTGGTAAGAAATGGAAGGGAGGGAAAAACCACAAACACACATGAAGACATCCACATTACAGAGCTCTGCTCCTTGCTTAAACTTTAAAGCTGTAGGCAAACTGTTCTCCCACCTCTGCTCTGTTACCTGCTTCATGCCACCATTAGCTACTGGGAGTTGTGCCGATTGATAGCACTGGAAGTCTGGATGTGTTCTTTTTAACAGTAAAGCATACAAAGAAGCTGAATCTAAGATGTGATTCAGTTTGTCCTTGCTCTGCATGATTTAAATAGCGGGGAGCGCGGGAAAGCTCCATTATTTAGTGTTTTATTTATAAGAGTGTGATTACGGTGGTATCAAGTGCAAAGATTTCAGAACTGAGGCAAATTTACCAGCCGTGTTCACAGCATCCCACTTACCTTGTGTCCCCACATGAATTGTTATCAATCATACCTCTCAAATGGGGATTTCCAACAAAACAACCATCCTGTTTTTTCACTTCAGCCTTAAGCTCTACCTGAAAATCATCAACCGAAGGTATCGTCCTGTTAGTTGTCCTCCTCTTGTGCCACTGCCGCAGAGTATCTCTGGCCTCTGAGCTCAGCAGTCGGGCAGCTTGTTCCTCCTGGAAGTTCTTGATCAGCGACAGTGCTCCGTAAGCGCTTGTCAAGTAGTACCCTCCTGGGAAGGACAGCAAGGAAGACTCAGAGCAGTCAAACACAGTGCTACTGCAGCGGGCCACAGCCAGACGTACAAAGGCATTATACGTATATTATATATACATACACACACACACACATATGAGAGTACTCGTACTCTATTGCCAAAATATTTACACACAAAGGAAAACAGCTCACTGGCTTGCAAAATACTGGATGGTGTGTTCTCCACTGCTAAGAGACAGTGCTTGTGTGTGATCAAGCGGTGCAATGGCATCTAAGCCCGGATGCGCTGGTACTGGGGATAGTTGGTTACTGAAATGACTGGTGTCAGTCCTCCTCTCCCGGGTGTTTTTACAAAGTCAGAGCATGAGTTTTCTTCTGCAGAATTTCCAAACAGCGATTTCCTTTCCTCCTGAGCTTCAGGTGTGGATGCACTAAACACAGCTGTTCAAGCAAAGTTAAAGACAATCTACCACTGTTCAGGAACTTAAAAGCAACCATCTCTAGTGGCAGTAAAGCCACAACCAAGTGTAACTTGTACCCTGGAAGTATCCCAAAGAGTTGGCTTTTGTTTTTAAACTGAGGATTGCGTTTGTCACCTTTTCAGCATTCCTCACAATGTCCAACTCGTTCAGGAGATGATGTGTACAGTTCCTCATCTTTAGTGCATGACTGGAGAACAAATTGAAGTCTATACAATTGCTGGTATATAAAAGAAGCTGGAGGTCACAAAGGAAAAGGAGGCTCAAGAGGAGGTAACAGTCCTCAACCACCAGGAGAAACAAAATACATTGGTTTTTTTTTTCCCCTCTTTCTTTTCTTAAAGTAAATTATTTGAGTGGGAGCATCCAATTTGGAGACAGCACAGTCCATCATGGGGTCACTGAAAGACATATTCTGTGCTCACAGTAGTACTTTCTGTATTACTGAGAGCATCCTCTTGGCCTTTAGCTTTGCAACAAGCATAATACATAAAACGCACTAGACAAATTGGAAATACATTACATTTGAATGCACAACCCCAAAGCACTAAGCAATTTTTCCTGCACAGTGTAGTTCAGCTGTGATGACAGACCCAGCGAGTGCATGGACTTCTTTTGCTGCATTAAGAACAACACGACTTAATAGTCCAGTAAAGGTTTCTGCCTTTCCAGCACGTTAACGGCTTCCACCTTCACATGTCGAGTATTTTCTATGCTAAGATTCCTGGACAAAGCACTAGAGGATGCTCTGTACACAAAGCAGGGAACAGACTAGTGCCAAATCAGAGGAAACCGTCGCAGTTCTCTCACGCGTACCCGCGTGTGAGAGGATACAGCAACTCCAGCAAGCCCAGAGACAGCAGGAAAGG